AAGGCAAGCTGTTCAGCATTTGTCTCCTCCAATAACCCTTGTTCAAAGTTGGTGGTGTTGCTGGTAGCTGTGCCGTATTTTCGCACTGATTTGTGTTTTCGCTCCAGTGTCCAGCATGCTGGCATGCATCGAAATCGTGACAGACATGCCTCAAAATGTAAACACCAATGAAACTTCGGAGCCATCTGGTCTCCCCACCCGGCGGCGACGGTGAGGGACAATGCTCGCTCGACAGTCTGCAACAAAAGGCCTGCTGGAGGCAGTTGTAGTGTACAAGCTATCAAGATGGCCAAGACTTCCAACCAAGACAAGCAAGCTTCCTTTGCAAGAGTGTCATCCGGGCTGGGGCAGCAGGTATGCAAAAAATATTCTAAAGGCTTTGAAATTGCTAAAAACTCAGAGGCTGAGCATTTGATGTAATTTGCCTTCCTGTGTGCCTTCATCTTCTCCTGGCTGAACAGCTTGTGCAGTGCCGCTGCTTTCTGGGCTTTCGGCCATTGCCAGAGTTGCAAGTAGTCATGAAAGGTAGCAGCTTTTCCAGTGGCTTCCAGCACCCACAGGATTATGCAGTTGAGGACTCCCATGCTGCATAAAGAATGCATCCAATCAAAGCAATATTGCGAAGCCGGCCGCAATACATTCAGACTTCGTAGAACAGTGCTCATCATCAGGGCATGCGGCGAGAAAGACCACCCACAAGCCTGTTGCCACTGTTGGAACTTGCTTTTGGACTCTGTCCGGTGTCTTGATTCCATTCGTTCCCACGATTCCAAGAGCTCATCGTCTGTAGCTTGATGGCATGCATCCCATGTCAAATGTTTTGCCGATATCTTGACATCACCCTCAGAGCTTTTTGATCGTAGGGAAAAGATGTTCTTACAAAGCATGCAAACTCTCGAACCGGCATCTTGCCGGTTCGAGTATGTGTGTTTCTGTGCACTTCCGTCCTGAAGTGTCATAGCAAGTGTAAAGAATAGTCTGATGCTTTTGCTCGGCCCCTTCAATGCCAAGCCATGCTCTGGATTTCCGAACTCGTTGGCAAACATGGACTCAAGCAGCAACCTCAAACATTGGCCTATACCAGCCGACACCTTCTGCACCAGTTCGGTTCTGACCACCATCAGTGTAAACCAATGATGCTCGTTCGAAAGCAACTTCGGTGACAGCTCCAGAAACGAGAAATACACCGCCCAGACTTTTCGCCCTTGGGAGGACAACTGATTGCCCGGGTGTACTTCATCGGAATAAAGGACCCCCCGCCAGGGGGATCCTATGCTGGATGGTGATGCTTCGTGCACATGATTCAACATTTGGTAAAAATAACCACCTGCTGCATACATGCCCTGAATAAGACTCGCCAGGTTGATGCATGGTATGTTAAGGTCTGCACCGGCCAGTGACTTCGCCGGAAGTTGTTGCACAAGGGCCCCATAGGCAGTGCAACTTGCAATGGCCTGTTTCACTGCTTGCTTCATGTCATGCCTCGAATGCTTTTCTGGAATTCCTTCCTTTTCGACCAAACTCAAGATGCAACTCAAAGCTGAGCAAGTAACAAAAGGCAACTGCCTTCTGAACCCATCCAATCTCTGTAGTTTGGCCGAGCGAGAGCTTTCTGCTTCGTGCCCCCGCTGTTGCTTCTTTCTAGGTGCCGAAGATGTCGATGCAGCTTCCATCTTGCTTCGAAACAATGCACAAAGAATGCTTCATGCACTCTTTGTGTATACAGTTCTGTCTATGATGAAGGTATAATATATGTCTCTATATATGTGCATGCATGTGTAAGCTTGTGTGTGTGTATGCATTTACAAATATACGTGTATGTATATATGTATGCATGCATGGCAGTATATATGGATATGTATGTACATAAATGTATCTATATGTATATAGACCTGCAGGTTGTATGTATGTATGTCTGATGTATGTATGTGCATGCATGTATGCATGTATGCATGTATGTTCAAGTATATATGCTGCAACGAAGGAACCTGTATGTATATACCTATATGGGTAAGTATGCTTGCATATACATATGCATATAGACACACGAACACACGAAAGCGCTTTCATATATGCAGTACAGAGGGTTGCATACCTTTCACATGCAAGTTACTCTTACAAAAACTTCGGGGCAAATGTACCTTACAAACACTCATAGTCTGAAAAGAACCTACGTAACATTGTATAAACCGCAAACACTGAACCATAATACTAAAAAACCTTACAGATAGACTTTATAGTCTTCCTTGTGCCCGATTGCACATGCATGCACGGCCTGAACTGATATAGCCATGCACGGACATGCTCATGTAGCATCTGAAGGCAACATGCAGACATGGCAACACAAGCTGCAAGCATTCATGTTTGCCTCGCATTGCAAAAGTCCCCGGCACGATCATGTCATTCCTGACTTCGCAGCATGCATGTATGTGCACACCCTTGCCCCATGAGTGGATCAACTGTACGATCACTCCAAGCTGCATGCAGTTTCTGCAAGCAAGCTAAAACAACAATCTAGCAAAGCTTTCGCTTTTGCTGGTGCATATAAGCCTTCCAAGCTTCTCTACCAACCAACCTCATCCCCGCAAAGTTCGGGTTCTCGCAAACATCACAGCCGCTACCTCGGCATCGCTTGCAACCGTAGCCCTCTGCAGCTTTCTTAGCAGCAGGCTTTTTCATCACTTTCTTCGCCTTCGTCTGATGCTTGTCCTTGTCGCCGGTGGTCTGCTTCTTCATGGGATTGTTCTTTTTGCCGGTGCCCTGCTTCTTCATGGGATTCTTGTTCTTTTTGCCGGTGCCCTGCTTCTTCATGGGATTCTTGTCCTTTTGGCCGGTGCCCTGCTTGTTGGAATTCCTCCCATTTTTGGTCTTCTCTTCAACCTCGATCATTGCCTGCTTCTCGTACTCCTCCAACGACAAGTTACCCGAGCCCGCTGCATGCCCCTTCTGCTGCAAAGCAGGCGGGTCCTGCATTCCGGTGACGGGTGCTGCTGCTGCTGCTGCTCTGCAGCTGCAGACGGCTGGTTCGTTAGTGGCAAAGCTAGCTGCTTGCTTACATCCTCCTTAGACAAGCCCTGCATGCCGTCGCCTGGCCCATGGTTGCCATCCTTCACATGGTCAAAGAAAGTGATCTTGGCACCACTGCTCGAGCTTTCTTTGCCACCCTGCAGGGCGGCCTGCCAGTTGCCACCCAACAAGCTTTTGAACAACTCGAGGAGTCGGTCCTCAACCTTGTCCACCAAGGGTTGAAGCTTCTTTTTCGAGCAACTGGAAAGGAGCTTGCTGGTGGATCGCATCGGGCACTGGGCTCCTAGCTCGAAAAGCTGTGGGAGATCTACCATCGAAGGTGGGTCTTTGGGATAGGCTCTGGACAGCCAATCTTTGTCCAGGTCTGTAGGGAGGTGTGGGTACTTCTTCAAGCCCGAAACCATGCAGCCCGAGGGCTTGTGGGCAGCGAACAAGAGGCCGAACTGTTGTGCCAGACCATATATTTCGTCGGCACTGGGTTTGCTTTTCCCGTGCCACATGATGGACTGTACGATTAATGCGACGGCGGCCCGCTTCGTTGTTTCTTTGAGAGACTTCACACCGAGGGCAGACAACCTTCTGATGATGATATGGGGAACGTCATACAAGTTTCCTTGCATTACCTCCATCATCTCAGCCTTGGTCAAATAGGCGGGGAGATTGACCAAGGTCTGTGGTGTCTTCACAATGGCAGACCCGCCTTCGTTTGTCGTACCTGTGGATGCACGAAGCAAAAGCGAATCCTTCAATATGGTCTTCAGCTCATCTGTCAAGGTACTGTGGTCAACCTTCTCAAGCATGGCACAATAGTCGCCAGCAGTCAGCTGGCTGTGATCACACTTTGTCAACAGAGCCTTGACCAGCCCCTCCTGCAGACCCTGGTTTGGGTTGAAGGCAAGCAGCTTCTCGATGTCCCCTAGCTCCTTGACAAAGTCAGTGCCATTCCATGCCATGATGGAGATCAAAGGCTCGTGGGGCCACGAAGCAACACACCCAAGAAGCCAAGAAGCTACATGCATGTTCATGCATCCATGCAACAAAATAAAGGCATGCCTCAAGCAATGTGAGAGATAATGCGGCCATGCCTTCATGCCTTCAGTGCACAGCACTCAATCTTCAACAGTGCACCATGCTCTCTTGTGAGTGTTCCTTCTTCTCCCTTCTGTGTATACCCTGGTTTGGCCTTCTCTTAGGCTATTGTTCTTCCCCCGCATAAAGACCGGGTCTCTGCCAATACATGAGTAAGTACATAATATGCGACAAAGCACTGTAATTCAACATAATACACAGTAACAATATCATATATAGTTTGATA